CGTTGGCGATTACTACTCTGTTTCTTAATCTATTTTAATTACTATTTCCGGAGGTAGAGACGTTTAATAAATGAGTTAAATGATATATTTTAAAAAGATGATTACTAATATTGTATTATTTCGAATATATTCGAATATATAATAAATAAGGTGTCATACTGACATTGAAGTATTGATCAATACTAAAAGGATATACAACTACCTTCGTCAGGAAGATAAGTGTAACAAGATTATAGTGTTAACTATTGTATAGTACAACAATTGTTTTTAAAAATGTAACAAAATGTGTTGTAGATATTTATTATCTAAGGTTTCAATGCAACATCCAGTACATTGGTGAAACGCTGTGTACTACCATTACTGTGCTACTATACTCACTTTCAGGCCTTTACATGAATCGTTAATACTCAATTTTTCGGATTGACGATAATTCAACCTAATCTTGGAAGGAAGGGAAAAATTAATTAATTAAATAAATAAATAAATAAATAAATAAATAAATAAATAAATAAATAAATAAATAAATAAATAAACGAGTGTTGAAATCGATACTTTTGCATATAACTTTCTGTGCCAGAAATATAACGAACCGGGTAAGTAAAATATATTTGAAATTTATTTTTTCACAAACTTGCAAAGCACAAAAAGAACTTTTTTTTAATTTGAAAATATCCACCGAAGGCGCCACGCTAATCTAGTAAAAATAATATTTACAGACGGACCTCCACATATCGAACCTCTCTAAATAGAAATTCTCTATAAATCGAATTATTGTTCTGTCTCTCGAAAATGTTGTTTAAAAACGTTTATATGTATCGAACTCCTTTTCTGAAGTAACTTATTTTTCATGAAATAAAATTGTACAGTAGACCCTATGTATTACTATAAATTACGTTCAACAAACTAGTTTCACTAATTAAACTAGATTCACTAGTTATTTGAATGATTAGAACAGGTACGTATACAAAATATATAAATGCATGTTACAGTTCATAAATATGGTAATAATGGTGGTACGAACCATAATAATGGTACGAACTCTTAAAACATTTGTTAATTATTTATTGAATTTTCCATTTTCTCAATTTTTCCAAAATGGTTTAAAAACATATGCAAAAATTTCATAATTATTTATACTTATCCAAGTTTCCATACATCAAATATTATCGACGAAACAGACAGATTCAATGTACGGACGAGCAACTATTAAGATTGGAAAGAAAAATAACCTGAAGGTCTTAAAGGGCTAAGGTCTACGTGGGGGAAGAGCGAGGGAGCTTTCACTGAGAATTGTCTCCAGAAGAGCGGAAGTTATCAAACTCAAACCTCTTATGAACAGGAATAGCCATCTTCCCTACAATACAGCTCTGATATTATACAAAACCATTATAAGACCCCTGTTGCTGTACGCTTGTCCAGTATGGTTAAATGCATCCGAAACAAACATTAAAAAAATACAAATCATCCAAAATCAATATCTAAGGACAATAACAAATGCACTATGGTATGTTTATAACAACCAAATACATAAAGAATTCAATACGCAGCAATTAACCCATTACATCACATACCTCTCCTCTAACTTTTATATAAACATCATGCAAATACCGTCCCTATCCGAATTCACGCTATGCAGAAACCCAACATACAATACAAGAATAAAAAACAAGTATCCCTTCCACGTGATCCTTAAATTGTTCTCTGAAATGTAATAAATAGAGGTGCCTTACAGGTTTCCTCAACCAATGTATTATCTGTAAGAATCTAGTTATAAGTTAATTTCTAAGCCACCAATGCATGCAACAAAGTTATTGTAAAAACTGAACCATGTAATCCCCTAAAAATGTAATAAATATATTAAAATAAAAGTAAAAAAGGAGCGGAAGTTATCCTTGGAAGGACCCTCCCCTGTCAATTTTACCTATTACATGATAACACGCCGCTCACAGAATACTCCATACTACAAAACCATCACAAAAAATTCTTCCGGAAGAAAGTATTGGGAACCGGCTACGAATTGTGCCAATCGATTTGCCAGGTCGACTTTTTTGTACAATCTTTTCGAGGCACTGTAATAAATAAATAAAATGTTGATTACCTGTGATCGATTGTGTACCTGAAGTCTAAATTTTATTATACAGTTACTGTACGTATCCAATGTACATTGTCGTTCGCGGGTTCGTATTAGTCGCTCGTTTTTTCGGAAATAGTGTCGTATTCCCCGTTGGTACGGGATGGAATAAGAGCCGAGGAGGTTCGGAGATATTTGGCGGCAACCCGAGACGCTTCGTGCCGTCAGTGCATTCCTTCATTAAGAAGGGCGAGGTGTCAATTGCGCTTGTTCGCAGTGCTGTAAGAATGGCACGCACAGAAAGACGGGAGGTTCGGAGAGGAGAGTGACGAAAAGGGGCGGGGAATCGGCGAGGTAGTTTCGTTTATCACAGCATACATTGGTCCGCAACAGACATATTATCAAACATATACACACATATATAAAGCAAACTACAGGTGCTACAAAATGGCAGACTCAAGTACTAGATGGATTCCTTATCTCTCCAGTATGGGTTATCTTTTCGGCCTTGCCCCATCCTCTTCTCAGTAGCCATCTACATCCGTCTTAGCAATTACGGCACCCCGAAACGTGTATTTCCTTTAAAATCTCGAAATTTTTTGCAGTATTACTTAACTTTATACTCCATATATTACTCCGTGTACATATACGAGAAAGTAAAATGAAGAAAGTAATAAAAGGAAAGGAAAGAAAAAATAAGTGGATAAAATTCATTATTTGATCAATCATAGATTTCGGAGATTAGTGGCTGGTTACAGCAACACATCTAATGAGACATTAGTAAGCGAGTCGTTAAAATTAATGCAACTGTTAAGATGTGTGTTCCAGTTCATTGTTCCCCGGCCTTGAGTAGTTAATTTAAGAATTTAGAAAATGGTTTAAAATTCGTACAGAGAAAGCAACGAACTGAAGACACTGAAGTCAACGAACATTTAATCGCTAAGGATGTAGGAGATGGAAAATTTAATTTGATTGTTTTCATTGATATTAAAATATCATTATTTTATCCGAAACACGTTTCTAATAATTTCTAACTTCTTCTAATTTCCTAAAGAACGAGTGAAACAAAAATAAATAAACTCATAATTTCTATAGATGTTACTTTTAAAGTCGTTTTTATTTCATGTCAATTAACACGCATGAGATTATCAATGCAATCACAGCGCGATCGTTTAAAAAAATGGTATTATGTATCGTAGATTTGTTAAAAAGTCAAGCTTGGCCGTTTCAAGTCGACGAAGCACAAAAACTGGAACTTCATTTAATACATCCCCGTATCGAAAAAAATAATCACTTGACTAGGATTTCCATGCTAGTGGGAGCGCTGCTGTGTATTTACATCAGTTATTAATCAAGTAATTGCTGGTATGCATACCCTTGAAAAGAAAACAGGAAGCAGTGGATCATAGTAAAATACGAAAGTAACGTTGTGACAACTGTGTGTGTAGGGGGAATATTAATTACAATCATCACTCTCACTGGTGTTTATTGCATTTAGTTTACTAATATACTTCTCAGCAAAATTTTTTAATATTTATAAGAAATTAGCTATCTCGTAAACTTTAAAAATTATTCGACTTTAAATTTCGAGATTGCATCGTTGAAGATCTCGTGCTCTGTGCAAGCCCATTGTAATTTTTACAATCTCTGGTAGTTGTGGTGTAATGTGTTAAGTATTGCGCCTTCAAAACAAACGTAGACAGCTAAAATATCCTTATTTATAGTTTTCGTAGATGTTTCCCCTTCTGACTGAATTGATGCCTTATTTTACCTGGTGAGACTCGGGCCATCAGGCCCGCTCTTCCGTCTGACCACGCCGATTTCGCTAAGCTCCTTTCATCAACTAGCGCTAGGTATTTCTTGGGCGAGAAACAGGCGATTTGAATTTAGCTCAGAGGCGTCATTTAGGCTTGAGGATCTTTTATATGCAAGTAAATCTACCAACATGGGACAGCCGGTTTTACTTCCCCTCCGAAGGAAGGCGTAGCAAAGATTTTTTTTTTCTGATCACAGCCAAGCCTGGAGTGCGAGTATTTAGGAGGAACACTATGAGAACGAAACCGATTGATGCTCCCATAAGACACTCGTAAAGATTTTATCTTTTAATCGGTCACCTAGCTTCGCGTTCTGTGTCCACACACATATCATGAATTAAACGATACTAGTTAAAACTTATTTATTTTGATTAGAAACGTTGTAAGAAGTGAGAGACTAGTGGATATCAGAATCTTTAGATGTCATATTACGTGTAGCTTACATTCCGTTGCAGATAATAAATTATGTGCATGCACACTCTGAAGTTTGTTCAGGATACGAGTGATGGTTTCAAGCAGTAGTGGTTTCTCAGGGCAGAGAAGGGAGGAAAGCCTACATTCTTCTTCGTGTGACTGTAATTACTGAACATAAATAAAATATTTGCATTGATATTTGAGCAAAAATGTATACATTTTTAACAAATTTACTTAAACCGCGTTTCAAATAACGCAACACAAAAACTATCGAACTCGGTCGAACAACCTTTCCAACACTTATGTTTTAGTTGCCAATCTTACAGCGGTTGAGTGGTCAGAAAAGAAAATGTGTTCAATGAAGCTAAATGGCCCAATTTCTTTCGATCTTTCTCTCTCTCTTTTTTTTTATTTTTAATATCTCCTCGTGTTTTGAACTATCTTCTATGGACATCTCTTCCAACTAGAACAACAGGCTTACGATGTGGGCAATAGTTCGATCACACTCTAGTTACAAGGGCCAGCAAACCGTCTTGTCGCTGATCCTACGCAGACGATAAATAACCTTCTCTAGTGAGCAGCTTCTGTACCAACAGGCATTTTTTTCTCTGCAACCATCACTTTCCGGCTAAGCCAGTTTTTTTTCGCAGTTCCTTCTTCTGCCACCAGCAAACCAATAGTGAACAAATAATAAATTCCTCCTAAAGAACGAAGGCGTGCGAGTTGTGATGCCGGAGCAGGTGCGGGCGCGAGCGCGGGCGTGAGCGTGGGCGGCGGGCGAGCAGGGCGCGGGCGGCGCGGGCGGCGACGGCCGTCACGAAGAGCAGCGCCTCCACTACGCTCTGCATGCTGGCGCCCACCAGCAGAGAGAAGGCGCTGCCCACCGACACTGCGCAGCACACCAACTCATTAAAACAGCAGTCATCACTTATTCAGTCCTCCCTTCATCATTCTATCGACAATTGAAGGACTCAGTAGAACAAGCGGCTATCCAACATTGGCACAGTTCTGAGATAATCAGGGTTTTACCTAAACTTCTCTCATAGAATTCGATACACTTTGAAACTTTTAAACGCAATACATATATATATACATATATATAATATATATAATATATATAATATATATGTATATTATATATTAATATATATATATATATTATATATTAATATATTAATATATATATATATTATATATTAATATATATTATATACACATATATAAGTCCATTCTGGATTTAAATAACTCATATTACACTAAAAGAATAATATTTGAAGCTTTGCATAATGCTAATAACTAGGGCCCAGATAATTATGAAATAACATATTTTGCTAAAGTAACGCTGACAAGGTGAATCAACGATATCTTGACGTTTCATAACAGTTAGTGCCAAAAAAGTTGACTTTTTACAACATACTTTTACATACTTTGCCCGAAATATTTACACATTTTACACAAATGAACATACTTTTCAATATTACTATTTTTTTCTGCATTTTGTTTATTTAATTTTTCATTTTTACTGTATGTTTTTGATAAGGAATCTCCCAGACAAATAAATGAGCTTTGTCAACCATTTTTTCTGTAGCCTCCTCTCTAAAATGCCGCCATTGCAAGGCGTTGGAATAAGTCTGTTCGTAAATGACGACATTATTGCAAATAAAAGGGTAAATTGACGACGCAATCCCTGGTTCTGATGTGATGGTTGAGTGCCGCAGAAAAGACAAAGGAAGTTAGGTTTCTGAAAATTAAACATTTAGTAGGCGATATATCGCACCCTCATTACATCTCTCAGGGGTCTCCTTTGACCTTTGACCTTCATGTCCTTGCCCAGAAATAATTCGCCCCCCTCAGGAAGTGCCGTTGCATTTTTCTTTTCCCGATTGTCACACGCAAACCTCCGTCGTCGTTTGTAAATTTCGAGTATTTCTTTGGGCCGGAAATCTGAAGTAAAATGATATATTCATTAAAGTTCGCTTTTAGCTAATGCTCGGTGGCAAACATGATAACAATTAAAATTAGAATTACTAAACCAACATTTTTCCAACATTTACAATTGGGTTTTACTATTAGAATTAGGGGGGGTGCGATATTATAGTTTTAAAATTTATTTCTAGGCTAAGCTCTAAATTCAGCTTTTAGTTTACATAACACTTCCTACACTACACTACACTGCACTCCTTCCCTACACTAAACTGCCCTTCCCTCCCCACTACACTAGCACCTCACATCCTTCACTGTATAAGGGCCAGATGAAATAATTATGAACAATAATAATAATAATAATAATGAATAATATAAAGTAATAGGTAATATTAATAATAATAAAAGCAATAATAATATTAACCAATAACAAGTCACAATTAATAATAATAGTAATAATAATATAGTAGTAGTAATAATAAGCAACTAATAATAATAATAATAATAATAATAATATAATAATAAAGATGAATGTCTGCAGTCAGCTATTTATTCGAGATTGAATCTAGATGGAATGAAATTAATATTTTTAAATTTGGCTACATTTCGAAGAGAGCTGCTAGTGGGGCTTTGGCAGGTAGTTTTATTCGCTATCTACTATAGTGCGATTCATACAAAAGGAGACTTGCCTACATCAGTTCTTTTGCTTTTAACGATCGTATTTTTCCAATGATGGTCCTCCTCTGCTTTTTATAATCTGATTTCTGTAATCTTTTACGCAGCGATATGCTGCCATGCTGGCGTCCCCTCTGTATGTCCTTTATACATTACGCAAAAAAAAAAAATAAAACGCGCCCGTTCGCCTTCTGCTTAGTAAGGTAATCTTGATAGCACTGAAGCTTTTGGGGGATTAAACCTTACGGGGCAGGGGTAACGCCGTGGTGGAGAATTTAGCCGTAGGCAAGTTCCGGCTGTTTCCGTAGTATTTTTATTTTCCAACTTCTGTTCCAATTTGAAAAAGCATCATGTTACTGAGAAAGGTATGCTGTGCGTAAAAAAGTCTCTCCTAATATAATAATTTTTTTAAACTAACAAAAAGAGAATTGGCTGATATTTTTTGATTCATTTTGTTTGCCGTTTTATGAAGAGCTGCTTATATCTTGAGGCGTAGAATTCCAACGGCCAGAGTCCCGTATTTACTTGGCTTGTCGCAGGTGACGGCTCGCGTCCAATGGCGAAGGTGTCGACGTTTCGGTCGGTCGCCATTCTGCGACCGTTGCCCTCAGGGCGTAATGCTATTAACGCCTGTAAATACTGCCTTTAATCTTAGCTGTTTGAAAAATATCTGGAAAAGCTGCCAGTGCATATAGGATGCACTAAATATGTGAGTTACATGGGTGTAGAGTGGCAAGCTCACAAGTCTTTTAACAATCGGGCAATCATGCTAAGCCGATCGAATATTTCGTGAAACGAACTTCGTGTGGGTGTTAAAAGGTTTTCTTTTGTTCAACTTGTTAAGTGTTGCCGACCAAATGCGATAATGCCAACCATTGGCAGGAACTGTTGCTAACACAAATGGGCATTTTTGTGCCTGATGGAGTTAAACACAGTATGTCTTGCGCTTCTGGTACTAATGCTAGCGCTTACGTACATCTGCAAGGGGAGAAAGCCCTGCAGGTGTTTGTATCCAGAAATTACCACTTGCTAACATGTCCTGTGGGCATGCGTTTGGTTTGCGGAACTGATTAAATCTTCAGGTTGATAAAGTTGAAGCATGGCTTTTCGTTCGATAAAAAAAAAGGATTAACAAGATGGGGCAAGCTGGATTTGATTCTATGAGCTACAATGCTGTAATGTTTCATAGCAAAGCTAGTTTAGACATTAAAATATTTCATACTAGTTCATACATTTAATTTGATTGTGATGGTGCAGCGTCCATAGGCATATCAGAACACAATTTTGCTTTAAGAGGACAATTCCGCACTGCTGGATATTTACCACACGCCAGAGGATCTGTTGCAAGTTACATAACACACTACAGACTCGTGAAGATGTTTCAACCGTGCTTTTAGTCGGTTCCAAGGCCTCCTTACAAGATAATAGGAAAGTTTCATTGCTGAAAATTGAATCATATTTGTTTTCTTATTGTTATGGAACCTTTGTATGTAATAGGATTAGTAAGAGTCAAAAATGTTGTTAATTTTGGTAATTATATAGTAATATTAGTATACGCTAGTGGTATACGGGCTATAGTATACCCTAATAAAAGCGCTATTTTAATAAAAAGAAATGATTTTGATGATACATTATTTCATACTTTTTAGTTATATTTTTGTATATTATAACACATATATATGTACATCATTTTCAACATTTGGTACATATTTATCGCGGGTGGCCTACTAATAATCATATTTCAACGAAAAATTGCTGGGATAGCTTCTTGTTCTAGTGAACGAGCGCTTCAATTGTCTCAAGCAGCCATAATACAAGAACTCGAATACAATTTGCATAGAGAATCATGTTTTTACTCATCTAATACTTACGGGAAGACATATTTTAATTTCGATTACTATAGTACGGGCGCAGCTAAACTATTTGTCTGGACACGAGCATAAATTTATATTTTGCTTTTGTATGGAAAAAATGGCATACCATAAATAAACAATATTGTACATGACGATAGAAGATTCTTATCTACTGGATTTATTTTATTTTATTGGTGATTTCATGCGCATCACTGCTAGGTAATTAGTCCCGAAAGTGTAGTGCGTGTTATTTCCTGCAGGAGGTGGCGGTGAAGCTTTGCTCCATGGATGTCGACATCTCGGCGGTGACTACCATGGGCTGCGGGGTTTGCCTCAACCAGGTATCTCCCACCAGCGGGGGCACCGGCTCAGTCGAGACAGGTCAAAGTTCGTAACCAATCTCCCGCGGCTTTGTGGTGGGTAGTATAAGTGCTATTGTTCAGGCGCTGTTAAGTGACAGGTTAGGATAAGGACAATGAAGAAAAAAGGAAATATTTGGCGCGTTTGTGCGTGGACGCGTTTGTTAGGGTACTGGGCTCCGGATTCTCCTGCTGTTGCATTCGAAGAAAGCCGACGAAAACCTACCGAGGAGCAGCCGGCGCGCAAGAATTGTTCCTCACGGACAGCGACTGATTGCGACGCTAAGCTGCACAAGCTAACTTGTTCGAAAATCCTGCCTAACGACGGATGCTCAAACTAGGACCCACTCCCGGTCGGGGCGCCTGCAATTTGAACTCAAGCTGATGCCTTGAGCGCAGCGCTCTGCCCGGTTCCCCGCTTATCGTTGATACAATAAATTACGCGTTATTTGTGTATTTCGGCCGTGCGCTGGCGCTGCAAAGAGACGTCCCCGCTTCCACATAATGTCCACCTATCTTCGCCGAAGCAGGCTAGTGGGGTGGCGGCGCCGTCGGCGTATCATCGCGAAGGGAAGGGGAAGGGGAAGGAGGGGGGGGGGAGGCGCAGATCCGAAGGGCGCGTGCTCGACGATTAAGCTAACGCGACCTCCTGCCCGTTGTCCCGTGAACGGCGGCGAACAGCGATGAGGAATAACATTCGTCTCGCCGCCACATTCATGTTGTCAGTGGCCCAATTGATTTAATAAGCGAAACTTTGATGTCATTTTAATAAAGAAATAAAAGGAGTGGTTTCAGTTTTTAAATTGTAAAGATTTGTTATAAGCCAAGTTTCAGCATTAGTTTTATATTACGTCCAATCTTTCAGTAACATCGGAATGGTCATGCTTAGGGCCTCTTTTTAAGATATTAATCTGGCGTCTGCTCAGATCAACCACGGGACGCTCTATAGGGCGTTGTAGCGATGGTAGAGAGCAATTGACAATTGATTCTGCACTTAGAGCTGGTTCAAAGATGCTGAATATTACGTTTCGCTGCAAAGAGTTCGCCAGCAAGCTAATTGAGTGCGCTGCCTTGGGTAA